CTTCAAATAAAAGTATTTGATGACAGCACGATTTTCCTGCTTTTCCATTTTTACGAAAACCACAGAGGCGTCTTGTTCAGCGTGCTGTCAAACCTACACTAGCAAGGAGATCGGGCTGAAACTATAGCTACAAGCTATCCAAGGATGGTACTATAGAATGTCACCTCAAGGTAGGCCTAGTGGCGTCATCTCTTGGTTAGGCCGGAAACTTATCAATCCACCCTCGTATAGGTACGTCATTAAAAGATGAGATATCTCAACTTTTCTTTTCTGTAGTAGTTGGTACGCTGGCAGTATTTACTGCTTTCAATAGCACGAATCCCTTCAGTAAGGTACGAATCCTAAAATGAATGGATATAATCGTAATACGAGCAGTAAGTTCAGGGAAAAACGACGTAACTGCGGTTGGAAAGGTTGGATAGGAAATGATAGATATGGGGAAGATTCTATATGAGCAACGGGCGTCACACATATGATCTATTGACACTTAAATTTAATTTAAGCCGCTTAAGCAATTTATTATTAAGGAATCTAATTCTTACTTTTCTTCTTGTGCAATGCATTGCACATGGAAATTAGACCGGCTTAAGAACTGAAAGGGAGATGCGCGTCATGTAGTGACAGTAAAGTAGACCTTGTAGAAAGGTTAGTAAAAGTACCTCAATATGTGCAATTTTTGATGAAAATTTTGAAAGGTTTTCTATTACAGTATAACAGTAATAATACTGTAAATGTTTATGTACTTATTCTATTGTTTGCTGAGAAAATCATACTTATACTTTTGCAGATATTTCTTTGTAGATTTGCATTTGATATTTTTACATTCTGACGCTGTACACTTTATCATTTTTGTTAAATTTCATAAAAATTGGAAATTTAATTAGTTTGCCTCTTTTGCATTTACGTGATTTAAATTAAGATATCTTGTTGTGAAGATAAACCTGAAGGTCATAATAATTGCGGCACATAGCGGAAGAAAATGGTAAAAATCTTCTCCATTGAATGCAAAATTGTAATAACAGTAATGTGAAACAACACTGCAAAACAGCTACCTTTCAAATTAATAGAGTCAAAAGATTATTAAAGAATAACGAAAATATTCGAATTACTCATCACTACTTTGCTGCTTCGCCATTAATACACATTTCTGGCGTTCCTCTCAACATCGAGAAATATCGACAGCCTTGAATTTATCTATTCTCCATTTCATCCTTTAATTTGGATAATATTAAGTAAAGCTCAAAGCAATTAAGGGATGGAAAGTTTTTATTTATGAAGAACCAATACCGACGTGTCGCCTCTATTTAAGAGGATTTTTTACGGTAGGTTCTTTACTTATATAAGCAAAAGTCCTAAATGATTCGGTGCTTGTAACTGGCACACAATATTAAATGAATAAATATTGAATTANTCCTTATTTTTGACTATGAGTACCACTACAGGAATGTTCCCGATACTAACACACTTTGAGCATATTTGAAGATCCTTAATTCTAACTCATTAGAGTACTGTCCTTTAGTGTAGCCACGTGGTTTTTAATTATACTTTAACTTATTACTTTATTTATATTCGTGTTGTCTTTAAAACTGTTAGTTTTTAACTATTTAATTATTTATTATTTTGTTTATAATTGTACTGTTTTAAATCAATGCTTATTCATTTAATATTATGTACAAGTTACAAGCACCGAATTATTTGAAACTTTTACTTACATAACTAAAGAACCTTCCTTGAAAAACCTGCCTCCCAAAGTCGAAACGTCGGTGTTGGTTTTTCATAAATTAAGACAAGAAATTATGACCAAGAAAAAATAATTTCTTGATCTTGATATTTAAGCCAAGATAAGAGTCGTTATTTGGGAATATTATTTTTATCTTGGTGAAATCCCAGTGCCGATGTAAAGCCTATCATGTAGAATAGTTACGCCGAGCACTGATGGGTTTGGTTGAAAACTCGATATCCTTAAATTGAAAAGGTCCTTGTTAAACATTAATGAACTCACAGTTACTCGTAAATCTCTATAGATGGCGTTCACTGTGCCGCTTGTACTTATTTATTAAACGCTGTTTAATGGTAATAAGTACATTGTTGTTATCGTTTACTGATTTTTAAGACGATAAGAGTGAGCCCATTATAGTTTATTGACGAATTGTTCAATTAAATAATCAAATAAAATTATGATTGTAAAAATAAGTTGTATTTTCTCTTCCATATGCATATGCTTTAAATATAAAGTACTTAATATCTAAATTAAAATGTATGGGTATTTACCTGCACGTGCGACTACCCTTATCTCAAGAAACATTTTAAGTAGGCACTTAACTATATAGATATAAAATTTATATTGTAAATACATTGCAACAATTACGTTTAATTAAACGGGGAATATATTCGACAATACCTATTATATTTAATGGAAAGTTATACATATAATAACAATTCCATCGAGATTACTTTTCAAACAATTACACACTTGGAGTTGCACCTGTCACTTTATACGTCTTAAAATTCTTCGTATTCGTTTACGTGTAGGTTAATTCATTATTAATTTCATCGTTTTCATTGTATGCCCTGCCAGTCAGTTACCACCCATGTTGGCTGATTGTAAGTGAAGACGGCAAGGATTTATTGTCGAAAACGTTACCGATAGGCGGTTAAGTAAAAGTAAAGTTATAAAACGGTGTGTACGTAAACCGAACAAGCCGCCTCCCGGTCGCCCCCGCGCCTTCAGCTCTCCTCTCTCACCCCGTCACGTTGATTGTTGGAAATTGAGCGAAGAATTAGCTTATTGTTGTTTGTATGTGTGTTTCTGTATACATGTACATGTGCGTGTGTATGTGTGTGTCTGTGTTGTGATAGAATTTAATTTACGTATTTCAATCTTCGCGAGCCGCCGCTTTAGGGGCGGAGAAGTAGAAGCCGCTCTGTAATTTCAGGCAATCGTTGCCTTCATGACGATGGCTTGATGATATAATGAAACCGACATATTTTCTCACACCTCACCTCAGGTAGACAACCAGATACTCATTTTAGTCACTCATCCGATCTTCGGTCTTTTGAAAACTTGTTGCTATGTTTTCCCACTTATTTTCTTGTTGTTCGACCTTTCGTTGTTTTGCCACAATTATAATAACTCTCATCTAGAGTAATCATTGTAATAGTTTGTCTAAACGCAGATTTGGGTTTTGATGATAGAAATCCTTATTTTTAGCAGAAATTTTAGTATTTTAAAAACAATAAACTTGAACCTGGCAAAGGAAAAATTTAGAATACAGTATGTAAGTTTCCAAATATCAAGGCAAATACTAATTTTATACCTGTACCCTTAAGGACGTTTGGGAGGTATGTCAAAATGCTACGAGACAAATAAAAATTTGGAAGAACGTTTCTCATTCAATTCTAAAACTCCTGTAAAAATTACAAATCGATTCACTAAACCGTTAAAAAGTTATTGAAATTTTAAAAAATTGTAATTTTACACGTCATTTTATGGAGATTCGTTAACCGAACAGATTAAATTTATTTTTATTAACAGAAAAAAAGCTACCAGAAATTTCAAACTTTTATAATAAGTAACTTGAACTCTGGAGAATCACTTTAGCGTAAGGTTATTCAAATTCACTAAATGGTTATCGAGGAAAAAATGAAAAATTAGCTGAAAATCTCGTTTTTACTTGATAATATAATGATAATATTTATAATTGTCTGAAATAAATGCAATTTTAAAGTTTTAATTATTATTTAAACATATTAAAAAGTTTTACGCTCATTATTAATAGAGATTGAAACTAAATATTTTTTTGTTTCGAAGTTGAAATCAAGGCATATTCACTGCCAAAAGTCAGTTAAAAATTTTCCATATTATTCGTTATTTCTTATTTTATTCAAAGTTTTTGGTCAAACTCCAAATTTTCTCTCAAACCGTATACTTTTTCTTTAATATAGATAGTATTTATTTACCCCATGATATGCTGCAAAACCTAATTAATCACGAATTTCTAATTTTATGTACTCTTGTCTCCGATTGCACCTCCCAAACATCCTTAAGTTATCGATCTTTTAGCTGATTTGCTAAATATGAATATAATAATACTTATTATATAATATCAACGATGTCCTATTTACTGTACTGTAGTTTGTCCTGCTGCAAATGAATTGTTGTTAATTAGATATGCTTATTGCAGAAATACTAACATCTACAACATCTTATGTTTACACCCAAGCACTTTCTGTTTATAATAATGAAGGGAAATGTATCAGTTAATACAAATTGTAAGATTACATATCTCTATCTTAACGGATTACATGTATGCTATTAGGGAAACAATATAATAAACAGAATTAAACAAATTATTTTAATTTAAAATGCCTTCTATTATTTTATTTGTACTTCTGGATAACCAAAACTACAACTTAATTCATAGTACCTAACATAATGTGTAATAATTATAATTTGTAGTACCTACCTACTTGAAATATTTTAGTTCGTCATAAAAATTAAGCACTTCAATTTAAGATCTCTCTTAAATAGTTACTTTTAAATAGGCATTCTAATGTGACTTTCTGGTTTACTTATACACTCTAGTCCATAATCAAATTGAAAATTAACACGTACTTTTTCTTTGTTTTCAGAGATCCCATGGACAATTTATTCTTTGAGCAACAGTTTCTACGAAATTCTCTGCGGCTTTACTCTACCGACCCCCTAGATACAGAAAATAATAACGCCAGTGCTTTGTTTTCGGCCGCCATGGTAGAAAAGGCTAGAAGTCACATTCAAATTTGGGGTAGAGCAAGTGGGGTCCAATACAGTCCCAGTGATCTTCAAGCAATGCTACTTAGCAGTTCTTCTGCGCAATATCTAGGTCAACGTTCTGCGATGTCTCTTGGTCTTCAGAGTCACTTATGGAATCAAGGCAGCTCTCCATGGCAAACACCACTTCACAGTGGACTTCCACCAGGTCTTCTGGGTCCACCAAATGCTCAAAGGCCGCAGATAACACCACCACCTCCTCAGTCATCAACGCCATCATCGTCATCGGGATCGCCAAGTCCAACTACCATTACCACCAGTTCCGAACTTCGACTACCCAAAGCTTTCTTTCCGAGCACTTTTCACCGTTTTAGTCCTTATGTGTCGCCATTAACTAGACAACCTACCATCAGTCCTAGGTCGTCGAACTGATAGTGTAATTTTGTTTAATTTTAGGGCCTTACAGCCAACTTTAAACCAAAGAAGTCTTTCTGTAATAAGGACTACCCAAATACTGATTCGTGAATTGTATATATTAGTTAAATGTGTACATTACATTTGTAATTTAATGTCGATAATTATTGAATGTTGGTGATGTAAGGTAAGTGTAAAAGAGCGAGAGTATGTTCGGGAGAGCAGCTCGTGTTTATTGCAGTATTATAATTAGGTATGTATATATTATAAATAGATTTGTATGTATGTTATGTTCAATTGAATCCCTGTAATAACTTTTACATTTTCAAATTTATTATTTATCATCGACCAGCGGTACTGTACTATAGTGAAAACGTTGTTCCTTTACATGCGCACACTCAGTTATTTTAGAGAAAATTATTGCATGTACTTTTACGAAGTTAAATTTCATATAGCGTGTAGTGATGGCAATGATTACTGTATTCATGTTTTGTAATTACCTATACATATATATTTGTAAATGAATATATATATATATATATCATCGATACATTACTAATAAATGGGTGATATAAATTTTTGTTTCATTTGCAGCAAATCCGTAGACGTGATCGTATGATCCTAATACAGAATTCACACCTGTTCGGGTGCAATTCAAAAAAATCGATTGTCTGTAAAGTCGGTTTACTGACGATAGTTGAACGTGACAACGTCATAAGAAAATACTGATGGAATGGTTTCATTTTTCAAAAGAAAATTTTAATTTTATTTGTTTGTTTTGTATGGATATAGAGAAGGAGGTAAATGGAAATCACAATTGAATTGATCAAGTTACATTTATTTGTATGCATAAACACAATCATGTCAATTTTTATTTATTTTTTTCCAATGTACATAGTTTTTACAAGTAAGAATGTGCTTTGAGCAATTGTTTTACAACTTTTAAACATCATTAAAATTTTTGTAACTCTAGTTTCAATTCGACATTATATCACTGAACATATATTTAATAAGAAAGAATCATTACCTTTATCGCCGCAATTATCGTTGCTATAAACAATTGACACCACATTCACTGCACTTTATACTTGACGAAAACATGTAAATGTATTATTGTATAGCAGCTGCCCACGCGGACGCATCGGTCACTCAAGTAGGAGAGAGATAGATGTCGAACGCTGCCGAACGCGGAGGCCGATTGTGCCTCTTTGTCGCTCGTTCGGCGCTCTCCCTTGCACTTCAAGCCTTAAATGGAACGCCTAAGAGCGAGGTAACGACGCATGAGTCATGTTTTTTCGTGCGTGCAGCCGGGCTCCATCGAATTATAAGACGTTGTCACGTCAAAAACTAAGTTTGTTTATCTTATGCAGTAATATTTCCGATTGCTTTCAATTGCAAAATACACATGATATAGAACATTAAAATGCCTTACATGGGAAGGATTACAAAAAAAAATTAATACGTGATAAAGGTAGGTTTAGCCTATGCAAAAAGTCAAAATTTGGCAACAGTTCAGTGAGATGTATATTAGCAAACTACATTACGTGTGCCTTTAGTTATCTGAATTCGGTTATTGTTAGTAGGAACGTAATGATACATTCATTTCCGACGGCTCTTCAGTATGGAGGGACCGATCGATGGTCACCAACCTTTGTACTGAAGACGCACAGAGCAATAAATCATACTGTGAGTGACACATATTTGTTGCATAACTACAGAACTTCTAGAATTCTCGAGAAGGCCGAAGACTGTTTGGGAGAATTCAATGATAGTATAAATAGGCTTCTGGATGGCTGCCACAGTTAGTTAATGTATGACCAGCTGATCAGTGATATAAATAAATAGTCCGAACTACAAGCGAATACCGAGTAATTAAAATATAGCGAGGAATAAATAAGCATAAATAATACAGTGTGATATAAATGAGAAGTAGTTTAAATTCCTTCTTAGAGTTATCACGTAAATAAATAACTGTAGGTAATATAAATACCCATTAAATAAATAAAATGAATACTAGAAAATTCATTTCAATTGTTTTCCATAAGTAACTGTTTATGAAAACTATTAGTTGAATAAATTAGATATGTTAATTAAGTGGTGGGCGACTACTAATGCAAAATGAAAACGAAGTGTGATATTATAATTAAATAAATGACAATTCCTTATGAGCTTTTCCTGACATATTTATCGAATGATTAATAAAATTTTAAAGAAATAACTGATGAGTACAGAGGTAACATTCAAGAAGGTAGGTACTTATTTATATTTATCGTCAACATACTGAATGACAACAAATAAGTTTTAATAAAATACAAAACATAAGATCGTTAGTGTATTACTCCAAAACATAATTTTCATTAAAAGTTTATTAGATGAAATAGTGTGATTTAAAATGCATGGTTAAGAAAATTATTTATTTAGTTAAAGATATTGTTACTTTATCATATTTGAAAAATTGTGACGACAACCCAAAGAAAATACACCGAGTTTAATTGTAAAGTTAAATTTAAATAATTGAATGCTATCAGAATTCTGAAGCCTTGAAATAATTACCAATGTTTGTTGGTTTAATTCAGAACTATTTTCCTTATCAAATATTTTTGCATAATTTTTTAATAAAAATGCAATATAGCATACATTAAAATGCAGTTTTTGTGTTTGCCTTTTTGGCTTAGTTAAATATCCAGTTCTAGTCCTTTGTATATTCTGCTCCGTTTCTGAGTGAAGTCAGCTCAAAAACACAAAAACAGACATACACTAGTTGACCAGTTGGTGCTGTTTATTAGTTTATCTGCAGCGTTAATTTATGTTTTATTTGCTTTCCTTCATTCTGTTAAACCTATTACGATTACAATTATTAGATACTGATTTACAAGAAAGCGCGTCAGTAGAAAAATAATACTAATACGATTTAAGGGTAGACACACACTAGTCGAACGAATGTGAATGCTTAATTTTGTACTAATACTGCACGTATTATGCAAGACAAAGTTGCACGTGTTTATTTTTGTTTATTTTCCATTACAAAATATACTGATAGTATTAAAAAACTACTTAAAACATATTCTAACTTTCGCATATTATATTATATTAAAACGTATGATATGCAGCATAAAAGTTAGTTGTGACTTGAGTTCACCCAGTCTAAATGGACTTAAAACAACTTAACCTATAAATGAATCTAATGTGTTGTGGTCATTACTTCTTGAATTGGTTGTATACTTCGTTTAGTTTCTGTAGCGAGCGATGTGACCTTCAGTTTGACCGGCGCAAAGTAGAAAACAACAGCACCAGGCCAGAAAAGGAAGGAGACAACTCTCGGCCAAACTCTTAACCGGTGAGGAGCGTATAATCCGTACAGTACTGCACGGAAAAATTGACCATTTTATCCACTACAATTGCATTGCTCAAATGTGCTGTTATTGGTACCATTTACTACTGAAAATATCAACGAGATGTTTATTTATATTTGAAGACATATTAAAGGCTTTAACGCTTGTTTTCGACTCGCACTACTATTCATGATTGAACAAAAGTTTTGGCAGGTACTGTATGAAAAGTATGAACAAGAGTCGAAAGTATAATGAGCTTTTTTCTCCCTATACCTACGATTTTGCTAGCTCGCATCCAAGACATTGGAAGGGGCACATCGCTAGAGAAAGTAAATGAAGTATACCTACAGATTATGTTGATGATATCAATGCAATCTCTCGCTAATTGTAATTTAAAAACTTCAAAACGACCGAGTGTAGACCCCTGTGCGAATTTTAAATGCAAACACACCGCCGCATGTTCACACATAAATGAGAACGGTATTTGGGGATCGCCTTTGTTCGGACAGTATGAGCCTTCCTTTACAAGTTTGCACGTATTGCTTGTGAACGAGATGACCAATGCTCGTGGCTGATATAAATTCTCGTCACAGCCTGTATCTCTGTTTGCTTTGAAACGAATCCAGAATTTTATTTGTATATTCAATGCAGGCGTAAAACACATGTCGATGCATCTAATCGGTTCAACATCACCCGTCATGTTTACGTAATAATTCACATTTTCGTTTGTTTTCGGAGCAAATGCATTCGCTAAAAGTGCAGCGATCAGAAGATACACCGAAAGCCAACGAGTGCAATGATACAGTTAGCAATCTGGCAACCTACTTTTAAAAATTTTTCAGTGTTGGTGCATAAAATAAGACAGAAAAATATATTTCGTATTACTAAAAAAAAATAAATTGCCTTTCTTCATTAAAAATACTTATTTTTGTCTTACAGTAGTCATCAATGACGTCAAGCATTAAACATTAGTAACGAGTAAAATTTCTTGAAAATATTAGAATAATGTGTATTAATTGTAAGTGTTTTCGTACACTTACAAAATTACTTAATTATTCAAGGTTACTCGGCAGATGGAACTGTAAAGGCGGCAACTAACTCGGACGATACCCAATACATATACATAACCTATCGGTGTACGCGTCTTATCTATAACCATAAACATAACAAAAGTAAAGGCAAACTCATCTGAAAGTGTATTGTACTTGTCTCAGCGTTACAGAACCAGTTGTATCTAAATATTGCTACGTGATTGGTCACATAAATTATCGCTTTCATTCACGAGTGTAAGTGTGATAATACGATCCTCTTCTCTGAAAGTAGCTTGCAAGAAGTGACGCTGACTAAGTGATATGGATGCTCGACTTGTGCATAACTGAGCAGAGTTCGTCTTTGCAGCAGAGATGGATATTTTTTATTTGTTTATTTATTTTTTGACAAAGAGGGTCCAACTATTATTAATTTCACCGCTCACTGCAACTAACAGGGCAACATGTATTTTTTCTATGATTATAATTGAATATCAATATGAGCAGTTCTGCATGCAATTTGCTTTCATAACCATGAAACATTTAATCAACAAACACCTTTGGTTTTTATAATCTGTCTCTTGTTCTATTGTTTAATCTACTATTATTTGTTCATAAGATCGACCATTTGTTAACAAATCTCTGATAAACAATTACAAATGTACAGGGTATTTCTAAAATAAGTAGCTTGCAGGAGGTGATAGGGCACTATAAAACAAGAATATTAAATAAATGTATGTAGTCTGTATTTCCGAATGTTCATCGTTTTCGAGAAAAAACCTGGTTTATAGTTTAAAGTACAGCTAAATGTAATTCCGTACCTGGAAAGAAATGCGACTATGCAACGTCGTATTCAATCGGCTGCTAATTAGCAGCATTCGTGTTGTATTTCTACTGTATTTTTGCGCTCATGCATTCTTTGTTATTTGTTAGATTAGATTTTTTGTTTAGATATGTTTTTTTAATGTTATAAACTAGTATATATGTACTCAGTCAAATAAGCAGCAGGTTAGTGTCTCATTGTCATAGGTCAGTATAGAACACTAGTTGTTGCAATGGCGTTTAGTATGACAGAATGTGAATACAATGTCAATGCAACGGTCGAATTATACGATCATCGATATCGCCAACGAAGACTT